TTTATTTCTCTCGGGTTCTCTGTAGCATTTTCTAGCATGGCAGCTCCTGGAGGACCCATTGCTCTCCAACACATGCCTTTTCTCATTAGTAGACAAGGAAGTTGGCCATTAAATATTCAGAGGGAGGCAATAAGGAGAACAGACTTGCTATCCTCTTTATCCATATACATGAATCAAGTTTGCCTAAAATTTGCCTGAAACTCTGGGATTTTAAATTTCCTGGAACTGGAAGGGTGAGCGAAGAACATCTCTAATGTAGCTGATCTTAATAAAAAAAAAAAACTAGTGGTGACGGTAGAGTAGAAGTAATTGAGGCAGAGCAGCTTACCACTATCAGTAAGAAAAGCTTTGTGAAATGCAAAGCCCATATCCTGTATCTTTCTCTTTAGTTCTTTTCTTTAGCAGTGGGGGAATTAGTCAAAGTGCTTGGTTAAGTCAACCACATTCTTCATTCCATCATACAAAATTCCATTCGAAATGAACCTAGGAAATATTTATTTATTAGATATCTATTCTGTCCTTTCTCCAGGAGCAAGGATCCTAATTTTATCCCCAAGTTCTAATCTGACTACAGCCTTGAGAGGAATGTTGGGCCAAGAGAAAAGGAGTTTGCATGGCCAAGGGGGGACTTAAACATGCGTCTCTCAAGCCCTCCTCCAACAACTTAACCACCATACCTTGCTGTCTATCTAGTGACATGCGAAGTCACGGACACATGTGACATCTGTTTCTCTACTGCTTATGCCCTACTATGGCCTTTCTCAACTTGAGGGACATACATGTTTCCCCCCCCCAAATAACTACAACCTATTTCCAGCTTGTCCTTTCTGATTTTCTATTTCAGCTTTGAAGGATTCTATGCCATTAACAGAGTTCTCTGTCTTAATGTGTATTTTTTGAAAGAGAAATAAAAGGTCTTCCATAACCTTTCCCTTGACATACGCTGACTTTCCTTGAATCCTTTAACTTTTTTTTTTTTTAATATGCAGTGATCAACAAAAAGCTTTGAGCCACTTCTGCCGTTAAATGATTTTCCAGTTTAAGGGAATAATGAAAGCTTATTTCAGAATTTGTCCTCTGACCTGATAAAACTGCAGTCTAAGTCCAAGGAAGTACAGGCAATATTTATTGCAAATGAAATAAGAAAAGGTCAGTCTTCAAAAGTGGGCAACAAGCCGAGGCTTTTAGCTTTGTATAAATGCAGTGATGTTTAATTTTGTTTGTATTTTTGTACACTTTGGTGAGTTCAGTTCTCTGAAAGACATGTTGCATGGATGTTAATGAGTCTGCTTTCAGATAAAGGAACTCACAGCTTTATTTGCCTTCTCCCTTTTCCTATGAAAGTTTTCTCTAGTTGGGTAGAGATCGCTGTCCTAAAAATGAATGAAAAGGTCTTCTCACTTCCTCCTCATTTCCCACAATAAATGTTCCTATCATTGAAAAATGTTGATTTTCATGGGGGGGAAAACACCTGCCACAGATGCATGCATGTCTCACTGCAGGATGCCTACGTGATATCCCAGAGGGAGAATGTGCATAAATGTGCAGGTATGCATAATGTATACCTAAACAATCTCATAATAGATACAAAGACCCCTTTGGCTGACTATGGGATAGGATAGTCATGTTTCAAAACAGTAATTTTGTTAATTTTACTTTTTGGAAAAAACAAGGACTTTGATCTTTGCCCTCACCCCCACCCCACTTTTTCATGTTGAAAGAAACACCCAGCAATAGCTAACTATTTTAAGTCAATATCTGATTAAAAGACCCAAATCATACAATTAAAAAAACAAACAAACCTCAGATTGAAACATTATTAAACCAACCGCCTTTATTAGAATGCAGTCTAAAAGAGTGAGGTGGTGAAATATTTCCTTAATTATATAATTGGAAACCTGTGTTTTATCTACAAAGAGCTACAGCTCACTAATAATAGGAAATTGGCATTAATCCTTCCTCATCCCAAACAGTTATTACCACCAAGTGCCATTTGGGGTCTTAGGCCTGAGATGTAAGCTTGTTTGTTTTTAAACAATATGTATTGTATTTTTTTTTTCAAATTACGTCTATGACTTGTAAATTGCTGGGGGAGAATTGTTATCCTAAAAGGTAAATTATTTAAATGTATGAGCTTTTTTCTAAGATTATTTCTTTACTTCCAGTCTAGCCTACACTCCTGGGATTGTATATAGTCTCCCATCCAAGGTACTAACCAAATTCATTTTGCTTAATACATAATAGCTCAATTTTGATCATTTCTTTTCACTGCAAAAAGTCCTCAGAAAGGGTAATAACAACAAGGTACACATTAAAATGTGCTGATATTCTTAAGAATAAATGTCACCCATTCCTTAAAATGCCAGCAGTTAAGTCAGCTCATAAGCCAAAAGGTCTCTGCCTGACATGAAGGCTTCAGTTCCAGAGTGGGCAAAGAACCACCGAGAAGGCCATTTCAAAGAAGAATTCCTCTCGCTGCAGAATAAACCCTCATTTTCAGAATGCCTGAAAATGACTCATCTGAACACTATAGTGCTGTTCTAGACAACCTTGGACTTAAAATACCTTCCCTTACTTTCCTAGTTGGTCATGCCAGCAGGGAATTTTAGAAGCTGTGCTGCTAATATATCTGGAAAGCATCAAGCTGGGAAAAGCTTAGAGACACATTCTTTTGATAATGTATGTCTCTGAAGCGGGCTCGGTCCTTTTGTATGACAGTTTAAGTTTGGTGGAGTTGAAGTTCATCTCAATGGTGAATATTGCCACATTTTTTTTAGGAAAGTGCTGGTTCTTGCTGACTTGAGATCCTTAGAAGAAATTTGGAGCATAGCTGTTAAATTGATACTGTATTTAAGGTTTAAAAAATGTATTTATCCTTTTTCCCTTGCTGTTTTCCAGACTTGTATAGCCATGGGATTGAACTTGATCTTTTTAGTAGACCGGCTGCTGTTAGTTACACTTGTTATTGCTGCAACTCCCAGTGATTTCCCAGAGCATTTTATATGTGTTTAAAACCAGAGCTCCTGGCAAGATAACAGATACAAAACTAAACATCATAAATGGATTTCTGAATAAAGCAGAGGTTTTTAGAATAAATTGTGTGTACTGCACTGAAAAATCTAGATAAAAACATTGGACTTGCATAGGGATGTTTATTAAATGGGGAAAAATAGCTTTTCCATTAAGTAGGTTTTTCATTGGAGGCAATGAAAATTTACTCGAGACCTTGAGTAACTTGCTTCTTATAGCCTTCATGATTTTTAGTGATATTTTCTATATTTTCTAGACTACTTTCTGACTGCAGATTATTTTATTACAGTGGAGTGCAGCAGCATTGTAATTGTATCAGCTAGTTACTTGTCAAGTATGTGTTAAATAATTTTGTACTGGCCATCACTGTAAGAATATATACCCAGCACTTTCTGTTTAAAGAGACATTGTAAAAAATGATTGAGCAGAAATTGGCTAGAGGATGTGATAATCTGTTTACAAGGAGGTTAAAATGGAGGAAGAACCCTAGAATAAAGACTCACAAATACAGGTCACACTGCTGATCAGCAGCGGAATGCCATTTAGCAGCAGAATCCTGGAGAAGTCTATCTGGGTGGTTATTAAGGATCGACACTGACTTGATGGCACATAATCAAAATTGGTAGAGAAAGTCTCTGGTATCTACCACTATCAAAGTAACCCTACAGAGAAGCCACTGACAATCCCAAGAAGAAGAGAATGCTCTGTTCAGACAACCCTGTGTACTGAGATTCAGAACTAGTGTCTTCTGCTGGGGAGGAGAAGACTGATTTGTACACACCTGCCTCCATGAAAACAACTACCGAACCAAACAGTCACATAATGGCTGTGTTCGGACAACAGAGTTATTGTGGGTTAACCTAAGCAAGGTTTATTCATTTAATTCATTTTTCTGGGTTCATACTACGCAGTGGAATGTAAAGCAACCTTGGATGTTTGCCATGTTCTAAAAAACATGTTTTCATCTGAAGACTGAGGAAATCTTGTCCTATGTTATAACCATAACTGTCCTTTAAAACTGGTCATCATATTTTTTGTTGGTATGTGTGATTTGAACCCTAACCCTAACCCTTTTATTTCTTATTAAATGGTTGTAATGTTTTATTGTCACAGGGCAAAACCAAGCCTTTTTCAGTCTTCTGAATATTATTCGCAGATATTTATGTCCATAACATTGTTATAAAGACTTGTTATAAAGACTTATTTAAAACGAAACGGTTTTGTTTTAAAATATTATCTGAGGGTTTGTGGATTTTTTTTTTAATAAGGGTGCTTTTTCTATCTGTATGTGAGTTTAATAGTCAGTAAAATAGGAAGCTGCCTTTTATTAAATTAAACAAGAGGTAAATCTGGCTTAGTTTTGTCTACATTATTAGCATTCATTTCAGGCTTCAAGAGACATTAATTGGCTTCTAAGCCTTCCTATGCATGGTTGACTGCAACTGCTCGGACTCTGTACAGATGTAAATTTAAAAGGGAAGTATACAATGAGTCCTCAAATGCATATTTGGGGTAAAAGTGGATCCCAGGTCTGAAAAATTACTGACAATGACTTATCCTGGTGTAAGATAAGAGTCTTTCCCAGCCCTAACCAAGGGTGTCCAAGGTTCAAATGGGGCCTTCTGTAGGGAAGGCATATAAAAGTATATAGGAAATATTATTTTTGTCATTGTATTACATTCCTGAGATGCACTTCAAATTAATATTTTGAATACATAATTGTTAGTCCAATTTCTCTCTTTTTAAAAAAATAGTGCTGGATAGAGAATGTTCATTATCTTAGATCAGCTTTCTCCAACTGCATAAGTCTGTGGTGGCCATAAATTATGAGAATTGTAGTCCCAATACATCTGGGGAGAGCCAGACTGGAGAAGGTCATCTCAGATGTTCCTCACTACCTGAAATGTTGCCATTTGGCATACAGTGGGAAATTACTCATATTACACTTCTTCTTCTTCTTCTTCTTACAGATGTACCTATTGAGAAGCTTGCCTCAATGGAGTCTCTCCAGAGTGTGAACTTAAAATC